CACTGATTCCTGCTGAGTGGGGACTCCGAGATTGCCACGGAGACCTCATCACTGGGGGGCTGTTCGCCGTACCGCACAAGCCAAATAGTGATCGCATCATAAACGACAGACGGCCCCTAAATGAACTTGAAAGACGTCTGGTTTGGGCAAAATTACCTCATGGTAGCATGCTAACGCAACTGATCGTACCAAAGGGTCAAGGGCTGAGGGGCAGTGGGGATGATTTACAAAATTATTTCTACTTGCTCCGCCACCGGCCAGATTGGCTCCCCCGCAATGTTGTTGGTCAGCCTTTTGACGGAGGTGATTTTGTAGAGTTCGGGGGGGAGGCTGGGAAAAGGTACCTGTTAGCGTTTACGGTTGTCGCTATGGGTGACAGAAACGCTGTGGACATTGCACAGCAAACCCACCTTGAAATTCTACAGGACTGCGGTGCTATGCAGCCATGCGAAGTTTTGTCTTACAAAGCACCACTCCCAGCCTCAAGCACTTGGGAAGGGTTGTATATAGACGATCATATCGTCATCCAGCAATTCCCCAGCCGTAAGCTTCGTAAGCGCATTGGCCACAGCGGGCAGTGCAAACTTAGGGATGTTGACATCATTGAGCGCAGTAGAGCCCAGTACGCAAAGCTTCGTATTCCTACTTCATCGTCAAAGGCCTTCACCCGTGAGAGTAAGTTCGTGGCTTGGGGAACCGAGGTGGATAGCGCCAGTGGACGCGTAGGGTGCCCTGCTGTGAAGCTCTTGCAGATTGGCTTTCTCATCCTTGAAGTTTGTAGCCTGCCCGTAGTCGGCAAGCGCTGTTTACAGCAACTTCTCGGCCTCATCGTGCATCCCCTTATGCACAACCGATGTTTGATGAGCATCCTTCAGGACACCTACAACCACGTATCAAGCATGCCAAAAGCTCGGGCTTCACGCCTCCCTAGCGCAGCTCGAGAAGAGCTGCTTGTAGTGGGCCTTTGCCTGCCGTTCGCTTGCGCAAATGTTCGGCGCCCAGTGTCTGCCAGGATTTCAGCTACCGATGCGAGCCTAGAGGCAGGAGGGCGAGCTGCCACCCTAACATCGCCTCCCGTAGCCCAAACCCTGTACAGGTACGCTGAACATAGGGGTGAACACGTAAGGCTCGATTGGGCTCATAGTTGCTTAGTCCCCGGAAGTACAATGTCTCAGGCTCCCGAAGAAGTTGAAACACTCATGGCCGACCACGCGTGGAGCACCACGGAGTGTTGTTCTTTTGGCCACAAGCAGCATATTAATGTCCAGGAGCTGAAGATGATAAAGCGCGAGCTGGTCGCCGCTGTGCACCAAACAACCGCCCCTCTAAGACTTGTAAACCTTGCAGATAGTCGGGTCGCCGTCGGAGCGTGGTCAAAGGGGCGATCTTCGTCGAAACAGCTCAACCGCATCTTGCGCAGCTGCATAGGATGGTCCGTTTGTGGAAGAAAAACGTTACACAATGTCTGGGTCCAGTCAAGCGCCAACCCCAGTGACTATCCCTCGCGCTTCAGGCCCATCCCTAGCCCTAGTGCGCCTAGGCCCGTCACTAGACAGGTGTTTGGTAAGCAGGCCTCCTACGTGCAGCAGCGCAAGAGGAACAGCCGGATATGGGCCCTCGCTTTGAGTGCAGATGCCGTTTTCGGGGAGGAGCTTTCGTTCATGCCGAGGCACCCAGCTGAGCCGCTGTGGACATTCCGTGAGGTGTTTGCCGGCAGTGCGAACTTGACAAAGCATTTCAAGAGCATGACAGACTTCGCAATGGCTCCTCCCGTTGAGCGTATGCAGCGCGGCAAGCCCAGTCTTCGGCATGATCTGTTAGACAATGACACATATGCCCAGCTCCTCCGCGATGCTTCACTCCCTCGACAGTTTTGGCATTTTGCAGTGCCGAGTGCGTCATTTTCCCAGTTGCAGCGGCTAAACTCGAGCACTAGGGTGCCCTCTAGGCCAGAAGGTTCGGGCGCCCTTCGGAGCGAAGTGAGAGCCAACGAGCTCGGCCGCAGAACAGTCGAGCTTTGCAAAGCTCTGCATGCAGCAGGTTCCTTCTTTACAATCGAAAACCCCAGCAGCTCGCTCTTGTGGCGTCTTGCTTGCTTCAAAGAGCTGCTGTGTTTGCAGGGCCTGCAGATGGTACAAGTAGACCTCTGCAAGTATGGGTTGACAATGCCGGACAGCAACGGCGCACGCAAACTCGTTCAGAAGGCCACTGTTTTTTGTGGGACCGTTCCAGGGCTAGAGGCACTTGAAGCACGTTGTAGTCGGGACCATGAGCACGTCCAGGTCTTAGGAGGGGCTCGAACTCCACAAGGATGGAAATCACGCTCCAAGCTTGGCAGTGCCTATCCCAACCAGCTGTGTCGTGCCTATTGCCGGATGTGCCGCAGACTGTTCATGTGACCAGATTAGGTTTATCTTGGGACTTCATGTGCAGCGCTTTGTTTTATTTGTTTAAGTTAGGCTGGTGGTTGCATCTCATTACACCTTAATGACGCTTCCGGGCCAGAGCCATGGTTTGCAATTTCGGCTGGGGAAATACAGTGCAGCCTATCGTAAGCGGCTCATCCAAGCTGGGCGCTCCCTGTGCCGTTACGTGGGCAGCAGCGCAGCAAGGTGGCTCATTGAAGCTGCCAGCGCGTCCGAAGTTGACTCGGTGCTGGCGCAGTTCGTGGAGCACATGCGTTCGCAGCGCTCGAAGGGGAGTTTAAAAACAGCAAAGCACGCAGCGTTGCTCATGCAGATCATAAGGCCCAGGTTGCATAGGCGGCTTAACGAAACTTGGTTCGTGCTCCGAGCCTGGGAAGAGCAGACGCCAAGTCGACTACGCATGCCCTTGCCTGTACCTGTGTTTCTTGCCATGGTCATCTATTCTCGAGTAAAGGCCTTGCAAAGCAGTTGCAGTACGCAACGTTCACTTTGGTTTGCTTTCGCTACCATTCTCGAGTTGGCTTTCTACGGTCTGCTGCGGCCTGGCGAAGCTTTGGGGATTGAGTGCCGAGATGTTAGTTTGCCCAACAGCTTGTCCCTAGGACAGCCGCACTTGACCCTGACCCTAAGAGACCCTAAGAATAGGCGACAGCTGGGGCGGTTACAGCACGCTGTGGTGAAACACCCTCACGCTTGCAATTGGGCTAGCTGGGTCATTGGCAGTTCGTCGCAAACTTGCAAGTTGTGGCCTAGCTCTCAGTATCACTTCAGGCGTCGGTTCAAGGAGGTCTGCCGAGCACTTAGGGTTCACAACTGGCATTTGACACCTGCCTCCCTGCGAGCTGGAGGAGCCACTTTCCTTTTCCAGCAAGGTTGCAGTGTCGACAGGCTCCGTTTCCAGGGTCGCTGGACGAGTCTCGCATCCCTGGAGCATTACGTGCAAGTTGGTGTGGCGCAGCAAACCTTGCTGCAGGTGCAACCTGCTTGTGCCGCCAAGATACGCAGATACTTGCAGCTAGGCTCTTTCCTTTTGGAGCTGGGGGCCAAATACCGGGCCGAAGTACCATCTGAGCAGCTTGTGTCTACGCCGGCGCTCTGCTTCACGCAGGCCGACAATCCGGTGTCTTGGGCTCATGGCTTCGCAGCCATGGGCACGCAAATTTAGGCAAGCGGTGGTCAAAGCTGGGGCCTTCAAAGGGGCTCGCTTCCTCGACTTGTCAGGCGAGCAGTTGTCCAAAGCTGCCAAGTCGTATCCCAGCGACATGCGCTTGCATCAGTTTGCGAAAGAATCGCTAGTTCAGCAGCGTGCGGAGCAGGAGCAGGCGCAGCGCAGTGCTGTGCCACCTGAGCCAGTCCATCCTCAGCAGTCAGCGTCGCCCACGGCTGCAGACACTACTTGGTCGAAGCGCTGCCGGGCGCATCTCTATGGCGCTATCTCTAAGCTGTTGGTGGGACGCAAGCTCCGATGGTGGCAGCGGGCGCTTTTTGCTGCATTCTTAGTTTTGGTGGTTACACGCCCGCGGTTTGGAACTCTCTGTGCAAAGGTTGCAGCGCTCTCCCTTCGTTTGATAGTGCGCAAAAGCATGAATTTCTTGCTGATGGTCGTCGATGCCGTGCTCGAGGAGCTTATTGCGCAGATTGACTCAGCTACGTTGCCGGCCGTCACTGTGGTCAGGGAGGCCGCCGAGGCAGTGCACCCTTCGGGCCTCAGTCAGGTCGTCATCTCCGGGATCTCAGCTTTTGCGGGAGTCTTGTGCGCGCAGATGGGTTTCGCACGCCGTCTCATGGCCGGGTGACGTCTGCGCGCCGCCTCTGCCCCTCCACCACCCATGATGCTGTGTTGGGGGTGTTGGAAGTGTGTGTGCCAGAGCTCGCCAGCCCGGCTGGTCTCCTCAGCCAGTTCAGTCAATCATTCTTCCCTTCGCATTCTTGCAACTTCCAGCCTGCCAATCGTTGCATTCTTTGCAGCATGTCGTATGCCAATCGTGGCACAGACTTGCGCTTTCACAGTTCTTGCAATCAGTCGGCGCTTCGCGCCTCCTTTGCTTTGACACAAACTTCAGGAGTGCCCCGAGAGAAAACAGGCGTTGAGCGAGGTTTGCAAGAGACAGTGCAGAACAACATGACCTTCATGTTGGCAGCTTGTCTCCGGAGCTTTTCGGTTCCGCCACCGCCCCACCACCGCAGGGAAGTGTGTGTGCCAGAGCTCGCCAGCCCGGCTGGTCTCCTCAGCCAGTTCAGTCAATCATTCTTCCCTTCGCATTCTTGCAACTTCCAGCCTGCCAATCGTTGCATTCTTTGCAGCATGTCGTATGCCAATCGTGGCACAGACTTGCGCTTTCACAGTTCTTGCAATCAGTCGGCGCTTCGCGCCTCCTTTGCTTTGACACAAACTTCAGGAGTGCCCCGAGAGAAAACAGGCGTTGAGCGAGGTTTGCAAGAGACAGTGCAGAACAACATGGCTTTAGTCAGGTTTCAGCTCGGGAGTAACCCCTAAACCCTAAACCCTAAACCCCAAACCCCAACCCCGAACCCCGAACCCTAAACCCTCAACCCTCAACCCTTGCTCAACAGGAGTGCAAGAAGCTGCTAGAGCAGAAGGGCGGGAAGCCAGGCGAGAATCCCTTCAACCCGGCCTACCTCACGACAGAGGACACACAGGGGCTTTGCTGGTGCAGGGCAGCGCCGTTGGCGCAACCCTAAACCCTAAACCCTAAACCCTAAACCCTAAACCCTAAACCTTAAACCCTAAACCCCAAACCCTAAACCCTAAACCCTATTTTAGTAAACGCTTCGAGGAGTTCGTGGAAAGAAGAGATGCCATCCTGGAGAAGTACAAGGACGAGTCCACCAGCCCTCGACAGACATTTGGGGGTTTAAGGTTTCGGGTTTAGGGTTAGGGTTTTTAGAAATTGTACAGGGTTTGTGTCCGGAGTTTTGGGGGGTTTTGGCAGTTTGGGGGGGTTTTGGGGGTTTTGAGGGGTTTTGCCGGGTTTTGGTGGGTTTTGTTTTTTGCTTTTGATGAAATTCGTGGAGGTTTTGTTGGCGGGTTTAGGGTTGTTTTGGTATCTTTTGCTGCGCAGGGTCTTCTTTGGTTCCCTGCAAGCCATGCTTTTGTCTGACTTGTGCCCTGTGCAGGATGAAGGGTTATTTCACGAGCTGCTCGTAATGAAACACGTACAATTTCTGTTTATCCTGCCCTTGAGGTTAGGGCACCCACCCAAGGGACCACAATGTGGAGAACAGCGCAGATGGTGTGCAGACCCAGGGTTCACTGGGTTTAGGGTTTAGGGTTGAGGGTTTAGGGTTTAGGGTTTAGGGTTGAGGGTTTAGGGTTTAGGGTTTAGGGTTTAGGGTTTAGGGGGCTCCACATGGGCAGAAGTGTGCAACATTCCCGACAGGACGCCAAGTTCAAATATTCAGGCCACTGAGCGCGGCTGTCACCTGGAGCATTGTCAACAAGTAGGTGCTGCTAGGACCCAGAGTATATAGGCCATTATTTGCTTTGCTTTTTTGTAAGGGTTCGGGTTCCCTTATAAGCACCTTTAAAACCCAAAAAGGGCACCCTTTTTATTCCTACCCAGTAGGGTGCAACTTGGGTCTACTTGGTACTTTTAAGCATTAAGTAGGGCTATAAGTATGGTAACTATGGTTATAACCTTAGTGCGGGTACTTATAACCCTACTTATAGCCCTACTTATCAGTACCCCTAAGCCCTAAGCCCCGAAGCTCTAAGCCCTAAACCGTAAACCGTAAACCCTAAACCCTAAACCGTAAACCCTAAGCCCTAGACCCTTAACCCTAAACCCTAAACCTTACGAGCAAGTAGGTAGTGTGTCCTACATTTTGGTGGGTGGCAGTTAGCTTGCCTTGGCTTTGCTCGGTGGTGCTCAAGCTTCGCTGCGGTCTCTTCCGATGCCAGATCTAATCCTAAACCCTAAGCCCTAAACCCTAAACGCTGAACCCTGAACCCCAAACCCTAAACCCTAAACCCTAGGTGAATTCCTACCTGTTGGAGCCGAGGACAAAAAGCCGCGAACGGACTAGGATGCTTGTTCTGGTGTTGTCCGCCCTGACTTGCGCTCCGGATGTCCTAGGGTTTAGGGTTTAGGGCTCAAGAGTCCTAAGCCCGAAACACAAAATCCCCTCGAAAGACCCATAGAAGCCCCCAAACCCTCAACTGGACCACCCCTCTTTCTGACATATATATATATATATATGTATATACGCAGTACGTAGTATGATACAGAATAATACAATATACTATGGGGTAGAAATATAGGCAGATAGACATATGTACGTATGTATATGTAAGAATATATTCATGTACAAGAAGAGTAGAAATAACAACACCGTAAACCCCAAAACCCTAAACCCTAGAACCCCTGAATCCTACTGTCTGGCTTGGAAGCTCTGAAGCCCAAAGTTCTTAAACCCCAAGCCCTCAACCCTCAACCCTAGACCCTCAACCCTCAACCCTAACCCTAAACCCTAAACCCTAAACCCTAAACCCCAAACCCCAAACCCTAAACCCTAAGCCCTAAACCCTAAACCCTAAACCCCAAACCCTAAACCCTAAACCCTAAACCCCAAACCCCAAACCCTAAACCCTAAACCCTAAACCCTAAACCCTAAACCCCAAACCCCAAACCCCAAACCCTAAACCCCAAACCCTAAACCCTAAACCCCAAACCCTAAACCCTAAACCCTAAACCCTAAACCCTAAACCTAAACCCAATAAACCCTGAAACCCTGGCCGAGGTGCGAGGCGCCAGCTCGACCGAGCGTCGTCACCGTGGAGCTGGAGAGTGGGAAGGGCTTAGGGTTTAGGGTTTAGGGTTTAGGGTTTAGGGTTTAGGGTTTAGAGTTTAGAGTTTAAGGGTTTAGGGTGTTGGGTTTAAGGGCTTTTGGATTTAGGGTTTAGGGTGTAGAGTTTGAGGGCTTGGTTTTCTGGGCTTACTAGATTTTACTGTGGGTCTACGGTGGGTTTGTTATGGGGTTTACTGAGTTTACTGGGTTTAGTAGGCGGTTTAGAGACTAGTTCAACCTTCTGTAGTAGGAACAATTGAGATTAGCATGCTTTTCCTTGAATTTGGAGGAGAAAGTCTACTGGGTGCAGGGCTTAAGGGCGATATCTTGGGATGCTAACCCTAAACCCTAACCCTAAACCCTAAACCCTAAACCCTAAACCCTAAACCCTAAACCCTAATGATCCCTCTTAAGGACTGTTAGTATGAGGGGGGAACATCTCAAGCTATGACTGTCGCAAGGAAAATTCAGTTTAGGGCTCTTGGGTTTGGCTCTTGGGTTTAGGGTTTGAGGGTTTAGTATTAGGGTTTCGGGTTGGTTCAAAGCATCCTGTCACTATGGGTGGCTGCCAAAGCATGGAGGCCATACAAGCCCATGTTGAACAGTGTCAGGAGAAGATGGTTCAGGAGCACGCGCGGATGCAGAAGCTTGTTATTCACAGCTTCCATGTTTGTGTTCCTGAGTTCTTTTGACCCAAGCACTCTTTGCCCACTGGCGTCAGCTGTGGTACTTCTACAGGACCTTGAACAACGATGTTTCTCTTGTCTAAGCCAACATATGACAATCCCCGTAAAATCCCTAGAGGGGATCCCAGTAATACCTATATTTCTTCCCTTCACAGCTTGAAGGTTTACCAACCTCTCCCGCGATCTCTCACATGTCGGCTGCAGGATCCAGTGAATGCGATGGTGGCGCGTCGCGGCCCCGGGCACCGGGGGCAGCTGGAGGGCTGTCGCTGATTGGGGGTTTTCGAAATTAGGAGTACCTTCTCGGGCTCCTTATTCTGAAGGGAATCCTATTTGCGGGCTAATATCAGGGCTCCCTTATTGTCGTAAAACCCCCTTTGTGGCCTACAGTCCCAGAGTGTCCCAGAGCTCCTGATGCGCTTGTGCTGGTCAGAAGTGTAGCTGGGTAGAAGTTTCAGACTCCAGCTTGCAAGCCGAGCTGGGTGGCATTAGACATTTGATTACATTGGGCACCAAAATTGGACAGATCCTAAATTTTCGTTCCGTGGACGGGTAGCATCAGGAAATGGATAGTCGCAGCTTTACGTGGCGTTGCTTCGGGGCTATAAGTGTTACGCCACAGCCGAAGCCTTGACTGAGCCAGGGACGCAAGGGTTTTCATAAACTCCCCTCAACCTTATAAACCCTACACCATAAACCCTAATCCCCGAACCCTAAACCCTAAACCCCAAACCCTGATCTCCTGAACCACTATGCAGCGCGCAGCATGCGAGACACCCAGGCTGCGTCCATAGCCTCGCCGGCCTGGCCGGAGAGATCGAGGACCCCCACTGTTCTACTACGATATTCGTATTTTAAGTTGACGTAGCGGCCAGCATCTGCCAGCACTTGGAAAAGGGGTTGTCCCATGAGGCCAGCGCCCCTTCGCAAGAACTTTGGCTCAGGCATCGTCCCCTCACACAACGACGCCTTTTGCCTTGAAAAAAGCCGCAACTGAGGGTAGCCATGCGCTGCCTCGCCATGTTGCTTGTGGCAGTTGGATCCCAGGGTGCCTGGGCAGCGCTTCTCCGGCGCGCCCCGGTGCCTACCGTGACGCCCCTGATGCCGCGCGGGAGCTTCGCCTCCTTCGCGTCGGCTTCGGGGGACAAGGGGATGGCGGTGTCGTCTCGTCAGCTCCAGGAGCGGATGTTTACGGCTTTGTCCTTAGGGTTTAGGGTTTAGGGCTTAGGGTTTAGGGCTTAGGGTTTAGGGTTTAGGGTTTAGGGTTTAGGGTTTGGGGTTTAGGGTTTAGGGTTTGGGGTTTAGGGTTTAGGGGTTACGGTTTAGGGTTCAAGGTTTAGGGTGAGGAGAGTCGCTGTGTAAGGGCAGTTGGTGGCGCTTAAGTGCGGTCTAGTAGAGATTTCGAGGGTCTGTTGAGCATGCCAACGACCTCCTGTTGGCATTTCAGGGTTGCCCTTTTGGACTCCGTTTTGCGATACCCCCCTGTAGGGAAGCCCAGGGCCATGACATTAGAGGATACTACAGAGGCTAGCGAGGCTAGAACGGTGAGGGGGCAAACCCTAAACCCTAAACCCTAAACCCTAAACCCTAAACCCTAAACCCTAAACCCTAAACCCTAAACCCCCTGACCCCGGCTTTGCAGGACCTCTTGCGGCACTCCCCGCGGAGGCACGGCCTGCGCAAGTCCCTCTTCGGCCTCGGCACCGGGGGCGCCGGCGAAGTCCGCGGCATCGTCCGTTCCCTTTGGGGGCCAAAACCCTAAACCCTAAACCCTAAACCCTAAACCCTAAACCCTGAACCCTGAACCCTGAACCCTAAACCCTAAACCCTAAACCCTAAACCCTAAATTGGAGTCATGTACCCTGAACTACTATAACTTCCTATTGAGGTACTATGTACCATAAGGAGTCATGTACCCTAAGCTACTATACTTCCTATTGAGGTACTATGTACCATAAAACCATATAAAACCTGATAGGGTTCATTTGGTCCCCGAGGTTTGGAGGACCTCTCCAGCGCAGAGTACGTGGGCACCTTGGGGGTCGGCACGTCTGCGAAGCTAGGTAGGGCCTTGGGACGTTGTTTCATTTTCCCTCGTTTGGATTAAGAGGATCATACTCAGGATCGTATTCAGGAGTATTTGAGGTTTTTAAGGGCCAGCCTAGGAATTGCACGCGGGGCGGCACCTGTGCCGCAGCGGAACTCCGGGTGATCTTCGACACCGGTAGTGCAGACTTGTGGGTTGCCTCGGACCTCTGCACCTTGGGCCCCTGCGCCTTCCCGAAACGGCACCGCTTCAACCGCTCCAGTTCCCGGACTTTCCGCCAGCCCGCCAGGCCCCCTGGTTCTTAGTAGGGAATGAGGGAATGAGGTACCCTGCATATATATATATATGTGTATATGTATATATATATATATACCCTTTAAGGGATTATATAGGGTACCTTACTCCTCCCTACTAAGAACCCCAGCCCAGCAGGCCGGAGCAGTTTGAGACCGAGTACGGCAGTGGCCGGCTTCGGGGCATCCTGGGCTCGGACGACGTGTTTGTGGGCCCCTTCCGCGTGAAGGCGCAGAGCCTGGGTCTCATCTCTGCGGCTCGGCAGTTTTTTGGGACATTTTTCCATGCTTTCCCTGAAAATAGCCTTACGGTGGGCCCTTGGGACCATTTTTGAGTTTTTTTTCCCCTTCTATTAGCCTTAATATTGGGTTTAAGTTTAAGGGGATCATCTTCAGGGATATTTTCCCTATTGGGTTTAAGAGGATCATCTTCAGGGATATTTTTCAGAGGGTTTTTAAGGGCCATCCTACAGGAGGAGTCGGGGGACGCCTTCACCGCCTTCCCCATCGACGGCATCGTTGGCTTGGCATTTCCTGCACTTTCGGTGAAGACACGGACTCTGTTGGACAACCTTGTGCAGGAGAGGGTTTAGGGTTTAGGGTTTAGGGTTTAGGGTTTAGGGTTTAGGGTTTAAGGTTTAGGGTTTAGGGTTTAGGGTTTAGGGTTTAGGGTTTAGGGCCTTGTGCAGGAGAAGGCAATGTTCAAGCCCGAATTCGCGTTCTACTTGCACAAGGACCCGTCCAGAGGCGGGGCGGTGATTTGGGGAGGAGGTGCGGATCGAATGGGCCTGCATGAGGGAGAGATGACGTGGTTTCCCATCGCGGAGGAGCGATATTGGTCGCTCTCTCTGCGTGGCTTTCGTCTCGGAGGTGAGCAGGAGGAGTTGCTACCCCTGCTTCTACCTCAGAAGCCCAAACGTGGAGACGGGCCGATCTCCTTCGCTGAGGAAGTTCCGGAGAGAGCCGCCCTCGTGGTGGACAGCGGAACTACCTTCTTCACTGCACCACGCAGGCTGTTCAACAAGATCAGCCAAACGGTGTGGCCCATGAGTTGCGACAAGATCCACACACTCCCAGAATTCGTTTTCGCGGTAGCCCTCCCTTGCAGACGGTACCCTTTTTTCTGGACTGAGAGTGCTAACCTATCTAAGGACACACATTCGCTGCGGGGTCCGCCTTAGTGTACCTTGTGCTAAGGTGGGGACGAATCTGTCCAACCACAGTGCCATGCACGAGATCAGGGTGCCCCCCAACGTGTACATGATCCAGAACACATTCACTGGTGACTGCATGCCGGGCATCATGAACATGGAGCCTGGCCGCCACGACCTGCCCTTCATGATCTTGGGGGAGACCTTCCTGCGCCATTACTTCTCGGTCTTTCAGAGGGGCCCGGTGCCTGGCGAGTCTTGGCTAGGTTTGGCCCCGGCCCTGCCAAGCGAAGAAGCCGAGCGGAAGCTGCTCCTGGCGCAGCAGCTGACAGGTTCTCTGTGAGCCCGTGGTAGCGGATTGGGGGCCGTGACTCTTCCATGCGTGTGGAGGTCTTGTAGTATGGGTGGAGCTCTCGAAGCTTGTAATGATGTCGCAACTGACGTCTCCACATGCGTCACGACCTGTCAACGTCAACTAGGTCACCCATAGGTGGCAGCACCAGGAAGCCTTGCCAGCGCAGTCGTGAGATGTAGCCCTTGCGGCACCAGCCTACCTCTGACCATCACACATGCCTGTCGTAATTTCGAGTCGCTACTGATGCAACACTTGGCTGCGCTGCGCAAGATGCAGATGGAGAGCTTAGTGAGAAAGGCCAGATGCCGCGTGGAAAAGGGTCCATCTTCTTTCGGCAAGACCAGATGTACCGCCGAAGGCCACGGTTTCAGTAGGCCCTAAACCCCAAACCCCAGAACGCCCGTTAACCCCAAGACCCAGAAATACGAAACCCAAGCCTTATAACTCAAGCCCTCAAAATAAAAATGTAAGAAAACATGAGAATAAGAAGAGGAAGAGTAGTATAATATCAATAGCAACCTAGCAAAAAACAGCATTGGCAGGTTTGGGTCGGGAGCAGCGGCGACGTCGCCCACTACATCTTGGAGCGATTTGGGGAACGTTCGGTGGCCGGGCTCCCAGGGACATGTATGTCTTGGGGGTCGACACGTTTTGTTAGGGGTTTTAGGGTTTGTGTTTGTTGTTTTTAGCGTTTTTTTAGGGTTCTTGGATAAACGTGATTTTTAGGGTTTTGGGTTCTTTTAGTGTGTTTAGAGGTTTTAGGGTTTTTTGGTTTTGAGGGTCTTTAGGGTCTTTAGGGCTTTTTGAGGGCGTTTAGGGTTTAAAGTGTGATTTCCCCAAGTCTGCTTGTTTGTAAGCTGTTGTGGTGAAAAGCCCCTAGCAAGATGCAAAGGTAGCCTCCAAGAAACAGCGGTTGTGTTGGGTTGTTCTGGTACCGTGGTACATCCGCTTGGACAGCTGATCGCCTGAAAGACTGTGGGGCACTTGGACTCTTCGGGTTTGTGAGGGACTTGATGATGTTTGTCTGCGGTTCTGTTGGTTGCCATCTGGCAGTCTCGTGGCCGTGGCAGAGGTCGTATAGAAGCCCTTGTTCCCCCCCCCCCCCAAAGCATTTTGAAGGGATTCTGGTGGTGTCGGGGCACCCCTAACCCCTAGACCCTAAACCCTAAACCCTAAACCCTAAACCCTAAACCCTAAACCCTAAACCCTAAACCCTAAACCCTAAACCCTAAACCCTAAACCTTGACATGAGGCGATGGTCTTCATGGACCATCGAGGCACTCTCTTCCATGACGACTTGCAGAGCTTCGAGGCGGGCAAGAGCCTTCTTGAAGCTGAGACAGCACTTCCATCAGCTAGGTTACCCATGCTCGACCCCTAAACCCTAAACCCTAAACCCTAAACCCTAAACCCTTAACCCTTAACCCTTGACCCTTAACCCTTAACCCTCAACCCTACACCCTAAACCCTGAACCCTAACCCTAAACCCTAAACCCTAAACCTTAAACCCTAAACCCTGAACCCTGAACCCTGAACCCTGAACCCTGAACCCTGAACCCTAGACTGTAATTAAGGCCGATGTTAATTCCCTGAACATAGCAGGACCTGAATGCCCCCGAACCTCGCCCAAGCTTCAGGAGATGAAGCTGCTCCAAGACGGCTGCCGCGTTCTGGCGGACAACACCTTGACGCTTAGCGTGCGCTCGCGCAACTTTGTTTGGGTTCTGACTCTTTCTCAGAAGTGCATCTCTGAAAAACCTCTTTACAGTCTCAACAGTCGCATGTAAACTTGTGCCACGCATCAAAACCAGAATATCGCAACAAAGTATCTGCAATCCGCTTCCTGCTAATACGAAACATTCTCACCCAGAACTCTTTCAGACACACAGCTTCGGACTTCTATAGCGGTCGGAAGAGTTTCCAGTTACTCGTATTCCCTCACGGCCCCTTGATAATCATATGATAATTGAACCCTAAACCCTAAACCCTAAACCCGAAACCCGAAACCCGAAACCCTAAACCCTAAGCCCTAAACCCTAAACCCTAAACCCTGAGCCCTAACCCCTAAACCCTAAACCCTATTCTAATTTTTATGGCCCCTATAGTATGCCTGTACGCAAGCCGCATGCGCTCGGCCAGGGATCTGCACAAGCTCACTTCGCATTTTCCGAGGGTTTAGGGTTTAGGGTTTAGGGTGTAGGGTTTAGGGTTTAGGGTTTAGGGTTTAGGGTTTAGGGAGTGACTCTGCAAGCAAGGTGGGCAATCGTCACACAAGTGTCCACTATCTGTTCTTGAGCATATGGCATATGACATCTATACAGTGAATTCCCCCTCCCGCTAATCTCCCAGCAGTTTCGGGCTGGGAGGTACTTGCTACAGGACGATTCTAGAGAAAAATTGAAATAACACTTTTTAGAGAGAAATCCATTATTTTCTGGTCCCCGGTTCCTGAAACATAAGACACTTGCTATCTGTCCCCCTGTCTAGGTCGTCTTGTGTAGTCGCGCATACAAGCGGTCCCCGAGATAGGCTGTCTATGTATGATGTATACAAACATTCTACCTTGTATTTGCATATTCATATGAGATACGCCTAACAAACTAAGACCTTTTCTGATGCGAAACACTTGCTTCTGTGAATGACTTCGCGCACATACTCATAAACTACCCTAAGCCCTAAACCCCAAACCCTAAACCCTAAACCCAGTTTATCGAATTCTTTACAAGAAAATGCAGGTAACTGGAAACATCTCTCCAGACTCACAAATCCTTATACTCTGTCTAAGGGAGGTGTGGCACTTATTTAATATACACACATAGAATATATAAGTATATATATATAGATATAGATATTTATATATACATATACCTATACATATACATATATATATATACACGCTGGTATATGTGCATTGTAATGTAGACAGTATTATATAAATACATATATATATATATGTATTTATTTATTTAAGAGGTAATATTCAAAATACAAAAGTTTCGTACTACACATTGAGTCTGTGCGGGTCGACTCCTGCAAACGGTGCCCAGGAAGCCAGGAGCCCCACTTTTCTTGTGGCACGTCAGCAGGAGGCGCCCTCCCACCTGGCGCTGGGTGGGTAACCTTCAACTTTTTTTTTGGGGGGTAGAATACAGCCAGCGAGGTGGGTAACCTTTAACTTTTATTTTTGGGGGGTGGAATACAGCCCCTTAAAACCCCAAAGGTTAGCCGTTGTTCGCCAAGGGAGCTCAGCACCTAAGGCAAAATGCCTGTGACGCAAGTCTGCTGGTGTGGTCGCAAGCCCTAAGCCCTCAACCCCAAACCCCAAAATCGCAAACCCTAAACCCTACACCCTCAACCCTAAACCCTAAACCCTCAACCCTCAACCCTCAACCCTAAACCCTTCTTCGTCCTGATGGGCCTTTGTCAGTCCGTCCTTCACCACGGACCTTGTGGTTGTGCCCGAGTTTGGCCTGGGCCACCAGGTCCAACAGCCGCAATCTTTACTGCTTTGGGTGTTTAGGGTTTAGGGTTTAGGGTTTACTTAGGGTTTAGGGTTTAGGGTTGCAGGGTTGCAGGGTTGCAGGGTTGCAGGGTTGCAGGGTTGCAGGGTTGCAGGGTGCATGCTTACGTGAGGATGCTGCCCACCGTGTACGGGGGCTTGTCCATGAGACTTAGGGCATCCCAAAAAGGGCGTCAACTCAGAGAAAAGCAAGGAATCCATTCTACAAGAGGCTTATGGCCTACGAACCATGAGCCGCAACCCGAAACCCTAAACCCAAAACCCTAACAACCCTAAACCCTAACAGCCCTAAACCCTAAACCCTAAACCCTAAACCGTAAACCCTAAACCCTAAACCCTAAACCCTAGGACAGTTGGGAAATGGCAGGTGTTGCAGGACTGGGTGGCTGTGAGCTGCTATGACCTGCACCATGCTGGAAGCTCTAGCCCACCGCCGCTTGAACGACAATAAGCCCAGAGGCTCTAATACGGGTTTCGGTGTTTAGGGTTTAGGGTTTAGGCGGTTTAGGGTTTAGGGTTAGGGGTTAGGGTAACTAGGACCCGGCATAGGCCCTTACTTCCTTTTTTAGTGTTGGGGTTCCCTTATAATCCCCTTAAAAAAAGGCACCCTTTTTTATTCCTGGGTTTCTCCGGGTCTAGAATATCTCCGAGCTACCACGCAACAGGGATCTTTACATGGTTGAAGAATATTCCTTACTAAACGTATAGTAACTATGTCTTGGGTCCCGATATGAATGGTAAGGAAGACTCCTTAGGTAAGGGATGTTGGGGTCTCTGGGAGGTCTTTTCGTCTTCTACGGGCCGGAACCCTAAACCCTAAACCCTAAACCCTAAACCCTAAACCCTAAACCCTAAACCCTAAACCCTAAACCCTAAACCCTAAACCCTAAACCCTAAACCCTAAACAACCGCTCCTCGGATCCCTAGCTTCAAGGCCACCTCACGCCATCGCGGAGCTCTCCGAGCGATGCGACGCCCTGAGGCGGCGGAGCCTTGCCGGAGGACTTACCTCCGAGGTGGGGCGGAAAGATGTGTCCAGGGTTTAGGGTTTAGGGTTTAGGTTCTAGGGTTTAGGGTTTAGGGTTTAGGGTTTAGGGCATAGGGTTACGGCTTTCTGGTTTCAGCTTGGTTTGGCGGGAGTTTTCCACTTGCTTGGGGCCGTTCGGCTGGCACATCAGCGCTTGTCGGCATTCTCTGGGCCATGAACCATCCCTGAACCCTAAGCCTAAAGCCTAAACCCCAAACCCTAAACCCTTGACTCTAAACTTATCTTCACTGAAGCCAGGACTGGGCCAAGCATGCGGAAGAGATGGAGCTGATGCCTCAGTCGTCCAGCAAACCCTAAGGAAAGGTGGCCTTGTGTGAGCTACCTGCGCGTTTAGGGCTTAGGGTTGTGGGGTTTAGGGGTGTGCGTCTGGTGAGCAACCATGCAAGTGCTCGAAGTCAAGACTTCCCCAGCAAATGAACAGTCCGCAACGGCTTGACAGTTGAACGGTGGGGGTGGGGCATGTCCTTGACTTCGAGAACGAAGCAGGAGTCGTGTCTCGGTTCCTGAATATTGCCTTCCCCCTTAACTACTTTATATGAGTGCAAGTCGACCCACAGCTCCAAGATGCGATGTTCTTACGGGAACATTAATTCTGGGGGCGGGGGGGACTTGTATTTCAGGAGGGGGGGATTACGCGAATGGTGTCGTTGACAACAAGCGCAGTAGGCGAGATGAATGTGCATGACCAAGGCTGTATTCGTAGTCATTGTTGGCACTACACTGTGACTAGAACGCTAGCAACGCGTTCCTTTAAAACCCTAAACCCTAAACCCGATATCCCAAGCCCTAAGCCCTAATGGTGTTGCTTCAAAGGTCGGGCCTGAGCGCGCTGGGGATCGAAGCCACTGTCGCGAGCGGAGAGCGTCATCCGCATAAGGACAAAACAACCTGTGGAGATTCCAGGGAGAGGTTGAGGGTTGCTATATAGGCAGTAAAACCGAAACCAACCCTAAACCCTACACCCTAAACCCTACATCCTGAACCCTGAACCCTAAACCCTAAACCCTAAACCCTAAACCCTAAACCCTAAACCCTGAACCCTGAACCCTAAACCCTAAACCCTAAACCCTAAACCCTAAACCCTAAACCCTAAACCCTAAACCCTAAACTCAAACCCTAAACCCTAAATCCTGAACCCTGAACCCTAAACCCTAAACCCTAAACCCTAAACCCTAAACCCTGAACCCTAAACCCTAAACCCTAAACCCTGAACCCTAAACCCTAAACCCTAAACCTCCACCTCCGCCACGCAGATGCCGGGCGAATATTTCCGAGACGGGACACAAGAAGCCAGGGAGGAGGCCAACGCTTCGATTCGGGGTTTAGGGTTTAGGGTTTAGGGTTTAGGGTTTAGGGTTTAGGGTTTAGGGTTTAGGGTTTAGGGTTTCGGGTTTAGGGTTTAGGGTTTAGGGTTTCGGGTTTCGGGTTTAGGGTTTAGGGTTTAGGGATTAGGGTTTTAGCTGCGAGGGTGTCGAAGCTCCTGGAAGGTTGAAGAGATAAGGATGAGAGCAGGGTCTGGGGCTTTCTACTACTGGCTTTAGGGGGCTATTTTGGGTCGGGGCTGTTCAGATATGCGAGACTCTTCGAGACTCTCAGTTGTGGATTCCTGATCCTTGTAGGGGAATTAGATACACGTAAGTAATCCTTTATGCGCCTTGGCGGTTTCTCTGCCCCCCCCCCCCCCCCCCCCCCCCCCCGGGTCCAAACAAAGAATGTCCGAGTTGACTTACGGGTTGGGCCTGTTTGGGATGGACGGACCGGTCAAGCCCCCACCCTGGGGTGTTTTTACAGTACTTGCTTTAGCAAAAAGGTGCAGGGTTTAGGGTTCAGGGTGGAGGGTTTAGGGTGTTTTTGTGTCGCTCGATGAGCCTCAATCGCTTAGCCCCCACCCCCCCTCTGGTGTGGCTGTCTCGTTTGCTATTGAAGTTGCTGGACGGTGAACCTGAACGGTTTACGGTTTACGGTTTAGGGTTTAGGGTTCAGGGTTTAGGGTTTAGGTTTTAGGGTTTAGGGTTTAGGGTTTAGGGTTTAGGGTTTAGGGTTATTTTAGGGTTTAGGGTTTAGGGTCCCCCCCTCCCCCTCCCCACCTGTGGTGTGCCTGTGAAGGGCGACTCATGCCCCTGCTCCCTAACCTCCCACCCCCGTCTCCAGGGTCCTTCGGGGTCTGGACCTGCAGGGTTTGGGCATTTGTCAATGTTAGTGCTTTCGGCTTTTGCCGCTGAAAGGGGGAACGCCCCCCCCCCCCTTCCAGGGGGTCCCAGGAAGGGGCGATGTTCATTTTAGGGCTAGAAAAGGGTGGGCACGGCCTGCTGAAGTTTTGGGTTCAGCGTTCACAGTGACAGAGAGGGGGGTATAAAGTACCTAATTTCCCTCATGCCCTACGTCATGTTCTGCTGTTAGGGTCTAGTGTCAGTTTTCTGTTTCGTGCATAGGGTTTTGGCATGCTCAAGGAGACGCCCTAAGCCCCTAAGCCCCTAAACCCCTAAACCCCTAAACCCCTAAACCCCTAAACCCCTAAACCCCTAAACCCCTAAACCCCTAAACCCCTAAGCCCCTAAGCCCCTAAGCCCCTAAACCCCTAAACCCCTAAACCCCTAAACCCTAAACCCTAAACCCCTAAACCCCTAAACCCCTAAACCCCTAAACCGCTAAACCCCTAAACCCTAAACCCTAAACCCTAAACCCCTAAACCCCTAAACCCCTAAACCCCTAAACCCCTAAACCCCTAAACCCCTAAACCCCTAAACCCTAAACCCCTGAACCCGAAACCCTGTAGTTTCCAGGCTCAAGCGACCTGAAACGTAGAGGGGAGGATTTGCTCAGTGCTCATTTCAAGTGGCGATGCCGAGCCTCAGCAGAACACGTATCCAGGTGGGTGCAGCTCAGGGTTTAGGGTTTAGGGTTTAGGGTTTAGGGTTTAGGGTTTAGGGTTTAGGGTTTAGGGTTTAGGGTCTAGGGATTAGGGTTTAGGGTTTAGGGTTTAGGGTTTAGGGTTGTACCAACAATTCTTGGGTAATGCCCGTATACCTGCACATAGCTATATACCTCTTTGACAAGAATGGGTGGTGCGTCACACCTTCTTTTCGAAGTTCGCACGGATCACATCTCAGGGAGGTTGCATGGTCCCTTGCTGCTGTCCTTTCTTTACCTTCTCTAAAGGGTTCTGAATATCCAGGTTCCCCAACTCAGGGCCCATATCAAGGGACCGTGTAGCCTTTTTGAACAGCAGCACGGGGTGGAATCCGAGGACAGCCTTCAAGCTCCACTACCGCCGGACCTTTCTCGACACGGATGAAGAACCCTGGCACAGCCCCAGGTCGGTAGGGGCCTTGAGTCTTGCCGGTAGGGGTGCACTAAGGTACGTTTTCATTCTGGCTTTTCGGGGTGTGACGTATGTATACAAGGTTTGGTGAGGGTATATCTTGCTGCACGAAAGCTACGCAGTGTCCTGAAACCCTGAACCCTAAACCCTAAACCCTAAACCCCAAACCCTAAACCCTAAACCCTAAACCCTAAACCCTAAACCCTAAACCCTAAACCCTAAACCCTAAACCCTAAACCCTAAACCTCAACTCTAGAACCCTACACCGTGAGCTCCACCAAAAACAAACTGCCCATGCGACCACGGCGACAACTACGATGCTGCCTCTTTGTGTGCACGTATTCACTACGCAACGACTGCTGATAGGTGCCTCCAAGACAAAGCTGTTTGCAAGAGTGTCTCACTTGTGCCTGCTGGCGCCACATGTTTCCAGGTGCCCTTGGAAGCTGCTTCAAGCTCAAGCGTCTGTGCTGACGTGCTTTGCAAGAACATCGCGCGACCCTAGCGATCACACTCGCTCTGGCGTCTACACCGAGATCACACCTCCTACGCCACACCTATTCTCGGCACCTACGCCGCACCATGACCACCGCACTTACACAACACACGCCACATATACGCGTCCCTTGCAATCGTCGCACTGATTGCTTTCGGGATAATGGGTGTCTAGCTGTACAAATTATAGTGACGTCAGCGACGTCATTTTGAAATTAGCGCCAAATTAGTGACGTCAGAAATCCGAAATTAAGCCAAATTAAGGACCTGGTTTGGCACCAACAAGCTGTAGGACCTGAGGCCCCTCCTGGTTGCTTCAAAAACCCTATCTGGGCCAGATAGGGTTTTTGACGCCAATTCCAAGCCCCAAACCCAACCAGGAGGGGTGGGGTGGTGCGGGGGAGGGGAGAGGGGAAGGGGACTGGCCAGTTTTTGCTCAAAAAACCCTATCTGGGCCAGATAAGGCTTTTTTGCTCTGAAAAACCCTATCTGGGCCAGATAGGGTTTTTGAAGCCAATTCCAAGCCCCAAACCCAACCAGATGGGGGGTTGCGGGGGAGGGGAGAGGGGGGGGGGCAGGGCACGGGCCAGTTTTTGCTCAAAAAAACCCTATCTGGGCCAGATAGGGTTTTTTTGCTCCGAAAAACCTTATCTGGGCCAGATAGGGTTATTGAAGCCAATTCCAAGCCCCAAACCCAACCAGGAGGGCTGGGGGGGTGCGGGGGAGGGGAGGGGGACGGGTCAAAAACTGGCCCGTCCCCTTCCCTTGCCCCCCCTCTCCCCTCCCCCGCACCCCCCCAGCCCTTCTGGTGGGGTTTGGGGCTTGGAATTGGCTTCAAAAACCCTATCTGGCCCAGATAGGGTTTTTCAGAGCAAAAAAACTTTATCTGGCCCAGATAGGGTTTTTTTGAGCAAAAAAAAATTGGCCGAGTCCCTTCCCCTGCCCGCCCTCTCCCCCACCCCTCCTGGTTGGGTTTGGGGCTTGGAATTTGGTTTCGCGTTCTGGAGTTTGGGTTAGCCCAGGTCGCCCTGAAATATGGGGTTTGGCTTTGCTTCGGCCCTATTTGGCCAGATAGACACCAAAAAAACCCTATCTGGCCCAGATAGGGTTTTTTTCAGGGTTTGGGGCAAGGTTTGGGGTACAGGGCTTAGGTTGTTCCCAAATCGGTTTGACATTGTGTTTTGGGCTGCAGACAGGCTCGTTGTAGGGTTGTTTCAAGGTCGTTGTAGGGTTGTTTCAGGGTGGCCCAGGTAGGCTCCTTTTAATAGGTTGTTGCAGGGTTTGAGTGAGTTTAGGGCAGGGCTGAGAGTTTTAGGTTCCGTCAGGCCCTTGAGTTTGGGTGGCTGGGCTATGTGTAAACCCTGGAGCTTAATTTCGGAAACGAAATTAAGCGCGACGTCCTTAATTTCAATTTTGAAATTAAGTGCGACGTCACTAATTCCGCGTTTCATATTTAGCGCGACGTCATTTGCCTAATCTGGGTTTTGAAATTAGTATAATTTCGGCAGTGTCTAGTGTACGAACTCAGTAGCCCAGTAACATCCAGCAACCATTTTACAACAAGGGCACCCCTTTTTGGGTTGGTTACTTGGTTGGGTTGGTTACTTGGTTAGGGAACCTTGAACCAAGAGGGAAAAGGGTACCACTGGTGCTACCAAGACTCAAGAATCCCAAATGTTTATAAACCCTAAACCCTACACCCTAAACCCTAAACCCTAAACCCTAAACCCTAAACCCTAAACTTGGGGAAAAGATTCATTTAGCGCTCGGAAAATTACGAGATGGACTCCGTGCTCGATAAGTTGGCTTCAGGGGCTGCAACAAAAGCACGGCAAGAGCGGCTCGCCATACTGCGGAGATCGAAGTGTAGATGGAGTGGTGCGGTGTGCTGGTGTACTTGCTGCGGTGTAGTTGCTGCGGTGTAATTGCTGCGGTGCGAGCAGCGCGGGCGTTTCTTTCCGAAGAAGCCTTGGCAGTGCTTTCGGGAAAGACCTAAACCCTAACCGATGTTGAAGCCAAGTTGGTGTCAGGCTACGCCCTGCCAGCTGCCCACCGAACAGAGCGCAAAGAGACGCCGAGGAAGAGGAGGCGTGAAGTTTGGGGATTTCTTGTCCAGTGAGATTTCCTTTGCAAATCCTTGAGTTGAGAGTTTTGCGATGTTTGGTTGCGCCCCGCTTCGTCTTTCCGGACTCACGCCATGATTGCCCTAAACCGTAAACCCTAAAACCCTAAACCCTAAACCCTCCTTCCTGTTCTTAAAGGGTCATCCTCATAGGAGGGTCGATGTGATCCCATCCTGCAGGAATCCGAATCCCAGAAGCACTACTTGGACAGAGTTGTGCGCGAGGCGTCCCAGTTCCTTTATCATAGTTGGGTAACATTTTACATTTTGACTAGGATGCCCAGTAGTGCCCTTATTCCCTTTTTGGGGGGTTTAGGTTCCCTTGTAAACCCCTTTAAGCAAAAAAGGGCACCCTTTTTAAGCCTAGGTTACTGGGCAGCCCATTATAATACTCTCCGGACCATGAACTAGGTTCCTCCCTCGCTTCAGCCGTGGAAGCGTTGGCCACCCTGCATCCCGCCTCAGGTGCTTCGTGAAATGGGCTTCGGCTTCGGGTTTTCTAAGGTTTGGGGTCCCCAAACCCGAGACCCTAGACCCTAAACCCTAAACCCTAAACCCTAAACCCTAAACCCGAAACCCCAAACCGTTCCCAAGGCTTAGGGCGTAGGGAATGACGTCAGCAAAGGCTCGGAGACAAGCAGGATCTCTCCAGTCCTCAGGCCCGCAACGACGAAGAATGAAGTGGCGCCATCTAGTGACTAGATCAGGGTCTGAAGCTTCGGTCATTGTTGTTTATAAACTAAGTCTGCCTTAAACCCTAAACCCTAAACCCTAAACCCTAAACCCTAAACCCTAAACCCTAGACCCTGAGCCCTAAACCCTAAACCCTAAACCCTATATCAACCCTAAACCTTCGGGGCTAAAAGGATGGGCCACGATTATCGATCTAGGCTCTCACCGGCAGCAAGTGTGTTTGTGAAGCGAACGAACTGATTCTGGTTGAGCCCTACGCCCTCACTTACTCAATCGTGTTAGGGGGCCCCAGTCTGTTGATCTGTCCCCCTAAACCCTAAACCCTAAACCCTAAACCCGAAACCCTAAACCCTAAACCCTAAACCCTAAACCCTAAGCCCTAAGCCCTGAGCCCTGAGCCCTGAGCCCTAAGCCATCAAGGAAGTGTGTCGCCGGCCGTGCGTTTACTTGGCGACGGGACACTGTGCCCACCGCGAGGCTTGCTTGCCACTCGGCCTGCGCCAAACCACGACCCTGTCCCTGGTTGGGTTTAGGGTCTAGGGTTTAGGGTTTAGGGTTCAGGGTTTAAGGTTTAGGGTTTAGGGTTTAGGGCTTAGGGCTTAGGTAGGGTTTAGGGAATGAGGGAATGAGGGCCCTACTTATACCCTTTAAGGGATGTTACAGGGCCCTCATTCCCTCATTCCCTACTAGGAACCAGCCAGGTGTTGCTTTGTTTGGTATCATGGGTAGATGTTATATTGTATTCTGAACTATATAGCTATCTTGTTATGTTCTTGTAGCAGTATATTGGTATATGAGTAGATCATGATACTAGTATATTTCAGAGTAGGGTATCATGTTTAAACAGGTATAGTTAGTTGTATCAGTATGTTAGTTTGTTATGCAATTTGTATGGCTGATAATAAGCTTGTCCTTTATCACCATAATCGTATATTCTATATTATCCTCTACTATATTATATTCTAGTATCGTATTAGTATCAAATAGCTTTATATCGCGTTTATATATTACTCTAATGTGTATTTTATTTATGTTGTTGTATCATTCTTAAACGGTTAAATTGCTGCATTATTTTGCTATTTTTATTTCTACTATTCTTGATATCGTGTCATTTTCTCATTATATTTCATTGCCAGTACATCGTTGTACTCGCATGCTATAAGAGGTACTGCCACGCCGAGCATGACGGCCCCCGCGCTCGGCCGGACAAGAAGCAGAGAGCGCTACTGCAAGGCGCAGACCTCGGGGACCCAATGAGCCCTATGCCATATAGGGTTTAGGGTTTAGGGTTTAGGGTTTAGGGATTCAGGTACCAAACCCTTTTAGGGTTCCTATGTCGCCCGAAAGGTTTAACTGCAGCTTTTTGCAGCATACCGCAGTACTTGCCCAGTGAGTGCACGTGGCCGAGCGTGTGCTGGCCCGCGCCAGGTCTTATGGATCATGAGGTCGTTGACATTGTCCTGCCACACCTCCAGGCACAATGGGGCCATACGCATGTATGCCGCGGTGACTTGCTGCGTTGGCTTCGGGCTCTCCGAGGTACTTAAGGTATATAAAGGGAGACTTAACTGGCAACCTAAACCCTAAGCCCTAAGCCCTAAGCCCTAAGCCCTAAACCCTAAACCCTAAGCCAAAAACCTCCCACCCACCAGGCCCGAGCAGAGATGCCAGAACTTCAGGGCAAAGCCTACCAGCTGCTATTCTTGGTGGAGGCCATTTTGGGGGGGGGTTCACGTTTAGGGTTTAGGGTCGGTCTAGGCTTTAGGGTCTAGGGTTAGGGTTTAGTGTTTAGCGTTTAGGGTTTAGGGTTCAGGGTTCCGGGTTTAGGGTTAGGGGTACCTTAGTGGGGGAAGTCCCCTATTTTGTAAGCTCCCTTTTGCCACCCTTGAGAGAAGATCTGAAGCATTTCTTGGGCCCCATGGGGCCCCTTCATGCTCGAGTTCGGGTGTAGCGGTTTAGGGTTTGACTGCGCTCAGGATGTAAGGGTTTCAGTGTGCCGGGAATTTTTAGGGGATTCGGGCTTTAAGGACCCTAAACCCCAAACCCCAAACCCCTAAACCCTAAACCCCTAAACCCTAAACCCCTAAACCCCTAAACCCCTGACAGGGGCTGCAACCTTTGATGAGCCCCAGCGGAAGCTCCTCAAGCCCTACAAGCTCTCCAAGCGTCAGCCCAATGGCCGACGGCAAGCTGAAGTGTCCTGTCATGACCAGGGTTTAGGGTTTAGGGTTTAGGGTTTAGGGTTTAGGGTTTAGGGTTTAGGGTTTAGGGTTTATACAAGGTCTAGGGTTTAGGGTCTAGGGTCTAGGGTTTAGGGTTTAGGGTTTACTCTCTGTCCAAGCATCTTCGGATTCGGGCGCAAAGAAGTTGAGGATTCCAAGGTAAAGCTTGCTCTCTACTTGGCAGCGCACATGGACGTGTCTGAATTCTGGACGGCAGAAGGATGGAGATGGTGGTGTCGCTGTTGGGCTAGCTAAGGTCCCTCAACAAAACGCTGCAGCGCATGACGTTCTCCAGCCTCGTAACCCTGATGTGCGAGAGTTTTGCCGAAGGCAACTTTCGAGACCAACTGCTGCAATCGCTAGAGGATGTTCGCGCCCAGTGCGCCAATGCCTGATGATGAAGACTCAGTTTTTTCTGGGTGCACCGTTGAAGGTGGGTACTCTCCCACATACCCCTCATAGAGTCCTCACAGCACCCTTGGTGCTGTACCTGGCAACTGAACTGCTGCAACTGTCTGGCAGCACTTCCCGCGTTGGCTGCCAAGGGCCCTAGAAGGTTTTGGGTGAAGGCCTTACTACAAGAGCCTACATACCTACAAATTACTATCCTCTCTTCATTCTTCCCTTCACAAAAGTCAATGTCAATAATGAAAGAAATGAATAAAACAGATAAAAGGATATAAAAAAGCATATGTATTTGGATAGCACACATTATACACTGCCCCAAACCGTTCTCGTTTCACCTCAATATAACATGCAACAGACTTCGACCTGCTTGACGCTCAGCACCCACTCTAATAAAATATGCCCCTGTAGCAGGTTTAGGGTTTAGGGTTTAGGGTTTAGGGTTTAGGATTTAGGGTTTAGGGTTTAGGGTTTAGGGTTTAGGGTTTGGTCATGGCAAACTCGTTGTTTCACCATTCGGTCCAGGGGTTCCCGTTGCGCTTGCGCTCTCGACCCTTTCCATGAGGAGCAGCAATGCCGGCACTCCCACCCGAATTTACAAACCCTGGACGGTTCTCCCCTGCCCCTTATCTAGAAGAAAGGTCCTTTGACTTGGTAAAGTCGTTCATCCAAGCGCTAAGCTCGTTCTCGACCGGCCACTTACGGGCGGGTCAACACAAAAAAGTGGCAGCAGCGGGCCTCGGGTCAAGTTCACTGTGTAAGCACCTAGTCTCGGATGCAGCCTCAGTGTAACAAAACGAAGAGGGCAGTTTAAGGGAGTCGGGGGGGGGGGGGTTGAAATTCAGAAGGCTGTCAAAAGGAGCTCAAAAGGCTTCAGAGAGAGCTTAGATGCTTAACTAAAAGGCTTTCTTCTTTCTTAGATTCAGGACTCAGGCTTTAAACCTTTGCTCAGGCTCTCAGGCTCGGTTCAGAAGCGATTTCTGGACAACAATTCTATTCAAAAGCCTCGCCGAAATTTCGCATCGCCCGGGATGTTTTTCCACAATTCCGGGGGTCTCGTCACATTGATCGCACGGAATAGTTTCCGGATGTTTCCTCCCAATTCCGGGGGACCCCACTAGTCAGGATTCAACATTTGGGTGGAGCTTCTTCCCTTTTCCCTGATGGAGCAGCTTTCTGGAAGCTTTTTCTATATCCTTCTCGGGAAGTGCTTTTTTTGTTCATACAAAACCCAAGAGGATGTTAAAGATAGTTTTTTTTTAAAGGTTCTAAGGGGCGTATAGTTTTCATAGGCCAACTAGCTGCAGACTTCCGGGTGCCATTCTAAGCGGCTTTCTGCCTTGGGGGCATTCTTCTTTCCTGGGTGCGCACAGCGCTCGTTCGAAGTCTTTTTCAGCATCTTCAGAAAGTTAGGGTTGAGGGTTGAGGGTTGAGGATTTAGGGTTTCGGGTTTAGGGTTTAGGGTTCCGAACATGTGGGATCACGGCTTGTGGGCGGCTTGAGGCTATGATTCTCGGGCGGCTGTTTGCTCAGCTGCGTGGACTTTCTTGAGAACGCACCAAAAATATTAATTAATAGTAATCCCTATATTACCCTTATAAGGAAGAATATTTTATTTTTGGGGGTTCTTAAGATTAACTACAGTAAAAATGCTGTATAAGAAAACGGTTTGCTGGCAGCAGGGTACCCTAAGTTTTTAATTTCCATTCACCTGTGTACCCAGGGGGATTTGAACTTGGTTTCTGAATTCGTTTCCTGAAGGAGTACGCTATACCACTAGACCAAATCAAACCCATGTTCCAGTTACTGGGGGGGGGTCTGCGCTTGAGAAGCTGCTCCGCGCAATCTAAGTAAAACCGTGCGACCGCAAATCCTGAATCGGAAGCACCGCTCAGGTGGGGTCAGGCCACTGCGCGGGGGAGTCACGTTTTAGAGCTTTTCAGGGCTGAAAACCTCGAGAATGTGACTCCCGCGCGTTTTTGGGGTAGGGTCAGGCCAGGGGCGCGGAAGAGTCACGTTTTAGAGCTTTTCAGGGCTGAAAACCTCTAGAATGTGACTCCCGCGCGTTTTGAGGCTAGGGTCAGGGAGTCACGTTTTAGAGAAAAGATGTTTTGGAGCTTAAGAAAGTAGCACCCCCAACACTAGGGTACCCTAGGTTTCTTAGCTAAAAGGCAACCGCAAATCGTCCAACATCCCTGGATCAGTTTCTTATACAATGGTTTCTTATACAGTGGTTTTACTGTACTATATGCTTAGAAACCCCCCAAAAATATTAAATAACAATCCCTATATTACCCTTATAAGAATATTTTTTGAAAAAATTGGGGGGTTCTTAAGCAATTGGTAGTTTACAGAAGGCCAAAAGCGTCTTCAACAACATGGGCCAAGTTACCCAAGCCAGACCCAGATGTTTGCAGGAAGACATAGCAACAGATGATTTTTTTCGACAATATAAACTAACAGCCAGGAAAAAGCAGGTGTATTGCACCAGGGGTAGAGCCTCGGTTGTCACGGCCACAATGCGTGACGTCCTAACCCCCAAACGATAAGGACTCGGCTGTTTTCCTCTTGAGGCTCACTCGACTAAGTTGGGAGCTCGAGTCTATGTCTGTAGCCTCACATGTTCAGTGATGTGAAGAGAAACTGAAGTCCTAAAGATTAGTTCGATAGCTCAGACGGTTTAGGGTTTAGGTTTAGGGCTCAGTATTTCGGTTTGGGAGTTCGATTAGACGAGGCCTGACACTAAACAGATGGACGCTTGAAAGGCGATCGCTGTCGCTTGTTGTAATCGGGGCATCATACGCAACCACACAATCTCTTAGGAATCTTTTCATGTATGTAAAGCCAAAGGGAATATTAAACATTCTATTTTTATTAAGGGATTCTAAGGGGAGTATAGCAATTACACAGATGCTTGGCAGCACCTAGAGTGGAAGTGCTCTGTAGGTGGGGGTTGGCAAGGGGTGATTTGCTGAACGCTTCCTTGCCGCCACCTTCGGGCCTGTCCCTCCTTGATCTTCGTGTCTTCTTAGATGACCTCTTATTAGGGTTTAGGGTGTACGGTGTAGGGTTTAGGGCTTAGGGTTTAGGGTTTAGGTTTAGGGTCTAGGGTTTAGGGTTTAGGGTTTAGGGTTTAGGGTTTAGGGTTTAGGGTTTAGGGTTTAGGGTTTAGGGTTTAGGGCCCACCTCTTCGTGTCAGACTGCCCCTATTCGACGCTTGAGCTGTTGTATGAAATTAAAGCGCGGAGCTTTTCTTCGCCACGCTGGCTGGAGAAAGCCAGCCAGCCCTGTTCCTGGCTCGCCAGTGCCATTGCTTCTGGGCCTTCCATGAAAATGGAGCCTGGGGGCAGAAGCACCGCGTGATCCACAAACCGTTCCCAAACCCGATGAGATGCAATGGCCTCGATGACGCAGTCGACCATTTTGCAGATCCTGCCACTCGCATTTTTGTC